TTAGCATATCAAAGACTTTGAGGATATTACACCTATAAAACTATGTTTCGTCTTTTGTTTTCTGTCTGTACCCCCCTTCCCTGATTTGAGTTGTGAGCCACCCTGAGTCCCCTTCGGGGGAAAAGGGCGGCATATAAATATAATAAAATCAAATCAATCAAATCAAAATCAAGAGTTATAGTCCAAAATATTCAGGAGACATTTTTCTCTCCTATGGTAACCACCATTTTTAAAAGTGGAATAAGGAAACATAGTTTTATAGGTGTAATATCCTCAAAGTCTTTGATATGCTAAGTCATGGGTTTTTTTGTAGTTTGTTCAGTAAACCTTAATTGACTGGGTTGGTATATAAAGCCAAATCAAATGAAAACTAACTGCATTCTATTTTACCATAGGGCGAGCTCATTACCAAGAGGAACTACCCTCTTATAAAGTGTGGTGACACAGACTTGGTTGTCTGTAGTTGGGTGTGAATGTTAGTTTTTACAGAGTCAAAAATGATCCACCTGGTGCTAGAACAGGACATTTAACAAATTAAGGAACAAATGAGAATTTTCATCTTCTACCCCTTAAAGAAAGAGTAGGAGAAAGAGAGAGGCACTGTTGTATATTGAGTTTGCATATGATACAGAGCAGCTCTTGGAATTATTTTCATAGTTCTTGGTTGTTTGAAACCACCCAGAGATGCTTGAGATGGAAGGCCATATAAATCTTTCAAATAAATAAAAAAATGAAAGAACTGTGCCTGCTCATTTTTTAAACTGTGCGTGCTCATGCATGTGAAATCAGTTTTGCCGTCAATTTGAAAAAGAAAAAGGTGAAACAATAGGGCATTATTTCCAAGAAGACTTGATGAGGAAGACACACGTTTTGCACTGGACTTGCCATATTACTAAGACTCCTTGGTCTTTACCACAAAAGTATTATCTTAATCCAAGATCGGTACAATTTCCTTTTTGCAAAAACCACAAGAGGACACATCTGTCTGCCAGAGGCAATTGAACCAGGCCAGCTTAGGACGTACGAGAACAGCCTTTTCTCAGCTACCACGTTCCTGAAAAACAGTCTCATTGATTTCCATTTCGACTTGAGTCAATTACCTCAACAAAAATCTGGCTGTTGTCTGCAACGGAGAAGAATCCTTGAACTGGAGCCCGAAAAAGCTCTGTCTCATAGAGTTCCATTCCAAAGGTGGCATTGCCAACACGTACTTCAGGTGGCCAGAACCTGGAAACCTTTGAATCTCTGGGTTGATGGAATGTGCAATTGAACTAATCCAAAAACAAGGAGATAAATTTATTGAAGAAGAGAGCAAAATATATAAGGGGAGGAAACAACAGTTGTAGACTCCACATGGCCTCCCAATTATATTTTTATAGCCCCTAGAATCCCTTATGGTCCTGTTGCCAAAACACCATATTTCAGCAGCCTACTCTTCTGCCATTTTATTTTTTAATGTTTTTGAGACTTAGGTTAGATCTAAAACATTTCAGTGATTTGGTGGCCTAGTTCCATCCAGTCAGACATTGTCTCCATAAGGACCCAGACACATACACCAACACCCCCACCACAAACATATTTCAAATATGACTGATTCACAAGCATTTTGGAAAGGGAGAAAAATCAAGCTTTCTTCAAAATTAACTCTACTGCTTTGGTTCAGAATGTTTTCTTATCTTATTTTCCTGTCTAATCCTCTCATGAGTGGTACCGTAGAGTCTTCATGAATACACATAAACAAACAATCCTCTCTGACCTTATTAACAGCCATTTAAATCTTCTTCATTAAATTTATGGCAAGAAAGACATACATTCTTAGACACAGACAACCCAACAGAAATAAAACGTTTTGGGTGAATTTATCATTTTGAACAAAGAACAGATTGTGAGATAGAATAAATGAAGAAAGCCTAAAATATTGGGAAGCTTGTTTTAAAACCAAAAAAGGCGATTTGGAAAGAAAAGATTCACTGGGAAAACAAAGAAACTATTCACCCATTAACAGCATGAAAAACTGATATTGTTTTGAAATTGGAAGGAGAAGGTTCCTAATCCAATAAAAGATATATAATTCACAGGTGCACGGAAAAGTGTTTCAATCAGCCCATACGTCATAAATGATGTTTATCAAATACTTTAAGAATCAAAGTTCTAAGAAAGGATATCAGTCTTCTATATTCACAAGCCAAGTGATGGCTAATCAATACATACCACAACAATTACAGGCCGACTGAAAAAGGTGATATCTGATTCATCCGTATCCCCAGGGAAACCATTATCCCCTGATTCCATGTCTTCATAATCAATTGGCCAACCACTAGCTTCAGTTGATGGTGACACCTGGATAACAATCTTTAACCAAATGGAGAAAGGGAGGGGAAAAAACCAACAACAACTGTCAAAACTTTGGGGATCTGATTCCATCTCATCTTGATCAGAAACATTGCTGAAAAGTTGGTTACAGGAGAGATCTAATATTATTGATAGTAGAGAGTACGGTCTGTTACCTGATGTTTTAAGCTTATCTTAGTTTTCCATGCAACCATTGTTTGAAACGTTAGACCAAAATAATAACCACATTCATAGGAAATGCCCTCTGCTTTCCCAAATTTTAGCCTCTTCCTGGGGATATGCTGACCAGACAGTTTCAGGAAGTTTACAGATTGGGGAAAACTTGCTTTAGTTTATATACAATATGCAAACAGAAGAAGCCTATGCAAAAGGCTATACAGGTAGTCCTTAACTTACAACAGTTCATGTAGTAAACATTCAAAGTTGCAACGGCACTGAAAAAAAGTGATTTATAATCGTTTTTCAACTTATGACTGCTGCAGCATCCCAAAATTCAGATGCTTGGCAACTGACTCATATTTACGACAGGGGTCATGTGATCACCTTTTGCAACCTTCTGACAAGCGAAGTCAATGGGAAATCCAGATTCATTTTACAACCATGTTACTAACTTAACAACTGCAGCGATTCATTGAACAACTATGGCAAGAAAGTTCGTAAAATGGGACAAAATTCACTTAACAAACGTCTCACTTAGCAACAGAAATTTGTGTGACCCGACAAATGCGCGCACGACAAAAGCGTGTAGACAAAACTGCGGTGCTAAAACCATGACATCATCAACGCAACATCATCCACGCGGCGACAACAGCGCTGCGACAGAAGCGCGATTTAAGTTAAGGTAAGGGTTAGGTTTAGGTTTAGGGTTAGGGTTAGGG